AAATCTTTTAAATTACGCATAAATCCGCATGAAAATACACAAAAAATATGCGTCAGAAAAGTGCGGACTTCACAGGCGAGAGCTGAATTTTTTGCGTCGAAATCCGTTGAGCGCATTTAACTCCATCATTTTGCAAGCGAATGCTACAGATTTTGCTACAATTATGTGCGTGAGTGTGTGTCAGCACAAGAGCAACGTAGAGCAACGAAGAGTGACTTTATGAGCATTTTAGCATAAATTTAATACGCAATAATGCTATACTAAATATACAGCTATACTTCTCATCATATTTATATGCGGTAGCTTACAAAATAAAAATGAAATGGGAATAGCGTACATATAATAAAATCTCAAATGAAATACAAAATTGCATTAACGGAAACGAGTGAATTGTGAATAAGGCGAATGAATGAAAATGAAAAATAAAATGTAGTAAAAGGAATGTCGTATTCTATAAAACAAAAATGTATAAACACAAACTGAAAGGAGAGAAAACACAAAAATGTCATTTATGTTCATACAGTCAGCGACAAAACGATAGACCCTCAAAATATTTCGAATAGTTTTGACTATTTATATTTTGCTTGTGTAATGTTGTCAGTTTACTAGGTATTTAAATCGAAATTTCAGACTTTGTACAAAAATTGTATAAATTTCATAAAATTTTCATCCCAATTCCAAGCATTTTGATTTTAATTTGGGAGGGAATTTGCAGAGCTTATGAAATTCTAGTAAAGTGCAAGTTTGAAGTTGCTAAAATATCGCGTAGATTTTTGAGAATTTTTTTTGTCGAAGGTATCACACATTTTCTTCCATACAAAGGAATTTTTTATATGGAAAATAGTGCGCACCGTCAGAAAAAAAATTAAAAAAAAATCAATGCCATTTTAGCAAATTCAAACTGTCACTTTATTTAACTAGATTTTAATAAGTTATAAAACTGCGTGCTAAAAAATTAATTTAGAAATCCTACTTATACTTGGAACTGGAATGAAAAGTTTGTGCATTTTTTTTAATTTTTGCACAAAGTTTGAAATTTGGACTTATATGGTTTTTGTTAGATGAGGAGCTGAGCTTTAATAAAAAATAAATTACCCTCAAAACAGCAAAATAAAAGTAGTCAAAACTGGTAAAAATATTGATGTGCTATCTTTTGTCGCGTTCTGTATGTAAGTATGTATGAGTGCGTGTACATAATTTTCTGCAATATAAAATTTGCGCATACCAGCAATCCTTTTAACGTCATCTAAAAAGTGCTCACCGTCCATGTGTATGTAGTGTTCGTTGCATGTGACGCAACATTTGTTGATGACTTTAAGCTACAACACCACAGCCACGCACATACATACCCTCACTTTTATATGACTGACGCTACGCACTGAGTATACACTCGTACATATGTACGTCAGAAAATGATACACGCGCGCGCAAATTTCCGCTTTTGATTTGCCATGATTTTTCTGCTGCCTCTCTGCCCGGAAAGTTAGGAAAAAACTGTGGGTGAATAGAAATGCTATACGAATTGTATATCTACGCAAGCTATGAAAGTGTACATATGTACATGTGTGTGTATGTTTGCATTATAAAACGACTGTAGCCAATTTTGTCGCGTTTTTATTGCATACATTTTTTATTAGATTTTATTAGATCTCTGAGAGATGAAAATGGCAAAAGCCACAAGCAAATATGACTTCTGTGTACATAAATGTGTGTGGCCATGTGAGTGTATTTGTATATTGTCATGCCCCAAACAGCAGCTGCTGCGTGCAGGAAGCACATAAATGTCATGATTCGCCACAGAGAAAGAGTTCATCATAATTTTGTAAATTTGCCAAATTTCATGAGCTATCACATAAATTCACTGCTCTGTTCGTGTTTGTGGACTATGGGTTTTTTGAATGAAATCTAAACTTAAAGGGAAATGAAAATCCGTTTTGAAATAAGAAAAGTTATTACCGTAAATAACGGTATTAATGGCGTGTGGTACTGTTAGCAAAGTCGAAATTATTTTCTTCTAGGAAAGCAACACATAGATTGGAAGTAAACTAAACAAAGAGAATTTTAGTTGATAAAAAAAAATTGAAGGAAAAAAATTACTTCTTTAAAAATTAGATGACTCTCTTTTTAAGACAATTTAGCATTTCTGACGGCAAAAATGACACTGATCACCGACTTTTCATTTACACAAGATTTCTGTGAAAGCTTATACAGAAGAGCAAAAATTTCAATATTCGTTCCATTCATTCCAACATTGTGGTAATTTTTTTTTGGATTTTCACCTTTTTACCAAATTTTTCGATATTTAAGAATTTTAAGCAATTATCTGGTACTTTTTTTTAAATAGTTCAGAGAGTTTTCGAAATTTTTCCGAAATCTATTTACACTTGACTGGCGGCTGACGTACACAGTGGTCGCGAAACAAGTATTTATAGGTTCGAATAAACATGAAAGGTCTTTAGTGGCTTTCGAGAAAATTATTCTACGCAAGATCTATGGCCCTGTTGGTGTATGTGACTAGTATCGACGAATATGGGATGATGAACTTTGTAAGATTTTTGTCAATGATCGGGATGAACAACTGGAGACAGTTAATTGCTTATCATAATTTTAAGTCTTTAAAACAAAAAAACCTGACATTTTACGGCGCGTTGATTTGTAGGGAGATGGGAACAGTCCAACGGAGGATGTAGGCGGCGTTCGAGATACTTTGCATATACCACTTAAAACCATTAATACTAAATGCTCTGCGGCTAAGAAGACACAGAGCATCTCATCGGCTGGGGACATTTCATAGAGACTCGGGCTTTGACTATAAGTTACGGAGCCTTGATTATAGCTTCAAACGACTCAGATCCAAGAAAAATTGGTAAACATGATGGAACCTGCTCGCTTTTAATAAACACAGGCAGTCTGCCATCGAGGCGTTTAGGAAGAAACGACTAACTCAATATAGTTTGTGAAATCTTGTCATTGGGCCGCTGATGTTCACTCCGGAGGTTTCCTCGGGAGTATTGATGAAATGCACGTCGAGGTATTTAAAATTTAGTCCAGCGAGTTTGGGGCAACTGAGAAGGAATGTGCTGAGATTATTGTGCTGCGGCAGTAGGGATCCGAGATGTTAATAAGTCTCACCGCATGGGTTCCTAAAGGACAATGTCCAGTCAGTACACTTTTAAAAATCTCTCGTCATGCCCGTCCTGTAGCTTATCCAGCTGCAAAATCTCCCTTGCCCGCCTGTGGCCAACAACTGGCCAGAAGTGCCATGCAACTTTGCATGTCAGGGTTTTTGCCCAGCGCTTGCGGAGCCAACTGCAAGGCCATCTGTCCAGGAGCAGACCGCAAGTTGTTATGACCTCCTTGTACGGTGCGATGGTCTCGAGGGTAACTTGTGTGGCCAATTCATCGGCCCTGCAATTTTAAGAGACCTTGAACGCAAATCAACTTGATTCCGCTAGCTATCCTTCTAATCGGAAAAACACTGGAGCGTAGACAATCAACTGCCTCTTTTATAGGTGCTGCAGAAATATCGCAGTCTGAAGAAGGAATTTATTAAGAGTTTCTGACAGAAAACAGTGCCAGACAGTTTCCATCCGTCCGTGAACATATTTATTGGATCACTACTCCAGAAGCTGGTAGGATATGTGGCGAGAAGAATCGATTCGGGATCAGCCTCGGAACACTCCGATTCATTTCCCGTGGTAAGAAGTCGAAGCTTTTGAAAACACTTTAGTGCTCGTACGCCGGATTGAAAGAGAATCTAGAGTGTCTGAGCGAACTGTGGTGACTTTGCCTGCAATGTCAACAGTTGCGAGTGGTCCGCAGCTATTGGCTACTCAATATTTGGCTTCCACTATAACTTTCCGTCCAAAATCACGTCCATGAACTTCACCCTGTCTGAGAGAACATGTCAAACACCCCCTATATCCTCTGGTGAATAACTAGTAAGAGTTCGTTCTTTCCAGGATTTATAGCATCTTACTTTCACAAGCTTCCATTTCAGAACTTCCTCTACTTTAAAAAGACGATTGAAGAATGCAATTTCTATACACTCCTTTAATAATTTCTTAACTTATTCTGACATATTTTACATAGCGGTTTTTACCAAATTTAGGCTTATTTACTCCACAAGGAGATCCAATTAATTGAAAGCAAACTGCTACCAATTTTATGACTAACTACTTGCCAATAAAATTTCATCAATGGCCAAAAGTATTGTCCATATAAAAGACACATACTGCTATAATGAACATAAAAATGATGCAACACAGATTCAATGACGCACGCAATGGACACTTTGGAGCTATCTAAACATGTATTTATGCTGGCTAATCGCCATAGGGATTACGCACAGGCAGCAAATTCGGCAAGCTGGCAAGCAAGTTCATTTTAATGATTCCGTTTTTTTTTCATGTGTGCAAATAAAGCGTTGGGATCGTTAAATAACCAGCCGAAGGTGGTGTGGCCTCCAACTTGCTCCGACTAATTAATAGCTTAACACAACTTTGCTATTTTATATCCCAAAACGCTAGCTATGATGGTGAGAGTTCACAGTATGAAAGTAAACAACAAAAGCAAACAAAACCGCCCCACATATGTTGGGCAAAAGTTTAGCAAAACGTCCCAAATATGTACTGATATATGCACATATGTACCTTGCGCTATTAATTTTTTCAGATAGTTGGGGATGAAAATTAATCACGCTTGAAATTTTACGCAGCAGCATATTGAATAAGTAACAAGCAAGTTTAGGTTGTAAATTAGTTGGGCACTTCTGGGTATTCGTGTAGAATAGCAGGAAGGCTTACTTCGCTGGTACTTGCGTAACCACTGGCTATAGCGTTTGGTCAGTTAATTGAGATGGAGAGAGAGAGAGAGGCGGAGATGGTGATGACAGTTGGGCAGTAAAAGAAAAACTAATAAAGCGCAGAAAAATTCCAGGGGAATATGCAGCATATTAATATCTGAAAGGAATGGGCTGGAAAGTTTTTTGCTGTTGACTTTTATTGTGGGATTTGAGATGTGACCTTTGACGGTATTCTGTTCAAGCAAAAGAAAGAATATTTTCTTAATTACATGGCCCTTAGAGAGCAAGGGCTTAATCGTATGGTGTTATTGTTATTAAAACTCAATACTGTTTAGTACATTTTAAGGGATAGATTATTTTATGTTCTAACCGCTTGTTAGACTTAAGGTCTGGGTAGAAGTATTTTGTACATATTTTTTCACGAAACCTCCTACCGTCCTGTACCGTATCCCCTTGGTACTACCCTTAAGTATTGTTGTGTATGTCATAACTGTTTTCGATAGTTAGAAATATTGAAACCTGTAATTTCACTTTCGATATGAGTAAGTTTTTGCCGACCAAGCAGTCGAAGTATTTCTTAACCATAATTTAATTATGTGTCTTTCGATTGATAAGAAAATGATTACAGCGATAAATGCATTCTTTACAACTGATCTTATCATCACTGAAGCTCATGTGTACTGTTAAATAATAAGCGATAAAGTATAAAGAAAATATTTCATTGGCCGACAAATTAGGTACCACTTAAAAACCATTACCAAAATGATCTCGTGGTCAAAGGCACAGATTGGCCAAACTGACCCTTGCAGGACTAAAGGAAACAGTTTTCTGAAAAAGTTTCTGTTTTGGCGTATGACTGATATTCATTTAATTATGCGTATTTTTGTCAAAAAAAGAAAAATTTATCAAAATATATAAATTAAGATTTTTAGACAAATTTCTGTTAAGAAAAAATTGTTTTTACCAAAAAAACAAAACATAATTTAGGAAACAATAGTTTTTTAGGAGAAAATATGTTTAAAAAAATTAGAAGACAAAATGCTTAACATTGAAGAAAAAGACTTTATGGAGAAAAACACAATTTTTGCAATAGAAATAGATTTTTTCAAAAAAAAAAAAAATTAAAAATACTAGAGGAAAAAAATCATTTTTTATTAAGAATCATATGGGAAAAAATAATTTTTTAAGGAGTTCTGACGAAAAAATTAAGTAGAAAAAATAATTGTTGAAGAAAATTTTATCTACAAATCCTCTGCAAATATTTGAAAAAAATTACCATTTACGTATGTATAAGCGAATTTTATTTTAGAAAAAAAAAATTATAATTTTTGTGCAAACATTTATTTTTTTGTTGAAAAGCAATTTTTGAGAAAAAAACTCTTTAAGAAAAAAATGTAGAAACAGTGTTTTTGGAAAAATATTTTCTATAAAAAAAATTTATGTGATTAATAATTTTTGTTTTAGAAAAAAATTAGTTTTAAATCGAAATTAATGACAATTTTAAGGATAAATTTTTTACATACATTTTTATTCTAATATCAGAATTTTATTATTTAGCCCTTTAAGAATTACGACTTACATTTTATTTAGATAATAAGTTTTTTATTATAGGCATATGTTCTTTAAGGTGTTTAGGCCTTGGAATCTTGTAAAACTGTTAGCTACCGTATAATACCGCCATTTACGAAAACGTCATTTTTTTTTTACTTAAATTGAAAAAGAAAAATTCAGTCTCAATTTCACAATTATGTAAGAGCGAAACAGGAGATAAAAAAAAAACACTACAATATGGAAATGCACCATTCACGCTTTATTTGTACCACTATAGTTGTAAAATATGTCGACAGATGTGCTGAAATCCTCAGAAAAATAGCCCAAAAATATTCATAACTAACAAATTATAAGTCATTACCTTCGATTTTTTGTCTACATATTTAGCTTTTTGTCTTAACACTAGATACATTTTTATTTCAAAAAATTCTGGCAACACTTGTGATAATTTAAATGAAGCAAAAAAAGTCCCGAGTTCATTACTGAGTATAATAAGAAAAATAATAAGTTGC